ACCACCAACGGTCGAATTTTCCACGTGTCATTGGTTTGTGAGTGGCGGTTAATAACGCTTCATCTACACACACACACATGTGCACACACACACACACACACACACATTTACAGGTTATAGAGACAAAAGATGAGCTGTCATCAATCTAAACCCTTTTGTGGAAGAATTAACACACAAACGTCACAAACAGCAGAAATAACGACAGCAAAAGCAGAAAGAGAAGGAAAGTAAACGTCCGTCATGTTGTGCAGCATCAGTGATGCATGTTGAGATGAACAGAAGTCTGCAGACTCCTGTGCAGTTTCTCTTGATGGTTTGACCTTCAGTGCTGATGTCACACTGCAGATGTAGTCACAGATCAACGTTTGCAGTGAAATGATTGGCTGAAACACAGGAAGTGACAGCTGGAGTCACTCATGTAACTGAACCGAGCCTCCATCATGTTTGTCATGTTTCGTACGCTAAAGACGTCCCACGTGTGAAGGACGCGGTATGTTCTTCTGTAAGTGTGAGCTAGCTGGTTAGCTTCCCGCGTTTGTGCTAAGCTAGGCTCAACTCTTCATGGAGCCGGACTCAAATGTCCTGATAATTGTCTCAACTTTGACTTCCAACAACCCTGAGAGGTGGAGAGAAGGACTTTTAAACAGCTGGAGCTTTAATGACAGATGTGGGGAATGTGAGAGGAAATGTGGCTGCAGCCAAAAAGAAAATGTCAAGAACTCGCAGCTTAAAATGAGAGAAAGACGGTAAATGTACACTTCATGAGCAAAAAGCATTTCATCATCTCGTAATAACGTTTTAACAATATTACAAGTCGTTGGCAGTGAAGCCAAGAGCACAATGGACTTCTTCATAGTTTCATACTCGTATCAATGAAGGCCCATTTAGTGACTGATGTCATGAGTCACACTCTGTTTCACTCGCTGTCTGCTTTGAGACGCACATTAAGACACAACGCCACAGAGACCCAAAAGCAGCCAGTGAGCTCCTGTGCAGAAGTCCACCACAACTTCCTGTGAGTGTCGAGCAAAAACACACAATAGGCGTCAGGAGTTGTGCACAGTTACTTTCCTCTCTTAAAGCAAATATAATGTCAAATATGTAACGGGACAACTACTCCATGGAATGAACCCGCAGGTGTTTGTGAGAGCTTCATAAATCTGTTCTGCATGTGGGAGGAAGGAGCGATGGGCTGATTGTCCCCACTGACCGACCCTCAAAGCTCACAACGCACCTTTCTACAGGACGCGTGGAGAGGGAGGAGCTACACGGAGCGACAGCAGGCTGATTGGTTCATTTACAGCAGAGAAACTGTCCATCCTTCATGTCTCTAATGCAACCGCCTGCAACCGTGTGCATGATGCATCTTAACACGCCACACATGCATGTTTGCTTGTTTTGTCCTCCAATCTGTCACTGCACCATTAAACAAGGCTGTGAAGGTACAACGCGTGAACAATGTGCCACGAGATGGCTCCTCTTTGTCTCCTGTATGTCTCCTCTATGTCTCCTCTGTGTCCTCTTTGTCTCCTGTATGTCTCCTCTATGTCTCCTCTGTGTCCTCTTTGTCTCATGTATGTCACCTGTATGTCTCCTCTATGTCTCCTGTATGTGTCATTTATATCTCCTATATGTGTCCTCTTTGTCTCTTGTATGTGTCCTCTATGTCTCCTGTATGTCTCCTCTTTGTCTCCTCCTCCTCCTGCAATTGACCGAATGCTTCTTCTCTGCACACAAACAGAACACATCAATTCTTTCCTGTTTAAGAAGCAGAGAGCGAGACATCACATGAGATATGACGACGCAGGAGGACAGAGATCAAATGTCACATGTTATAAAATCTATTGTTACGAAGCCTCTTAAGCTGCACGGAGGCTGTAATGTAAAGAATGTTCGGTTGTGATAGAATCCAGACAGACGCACAACACACACACACACACACACACACACACACACTGGGAATCTAAAAGCTGGACGTGTGAGTGACTAAGCAGCTGTGTCTTTCACTTTTAAGATATAAATACTACAATCCTTAGATGTGTGAGCTAAAACAGCAACATGGACGTGTCTCTAACGCAGCACGGTGCCCTTTGAGATACTTTAAGCTTTAAGGACAGAGACGTTTGAGTGGCGCTGAAGGAAACGTAGCATCTAGTGTTTCTGCAGCTCGACTGTGTGTAGGAACTAATCAGGACGTCCTAACTTTTACTCCACCTTCATCAGGAGGACAGTGATGATATCTCACCCCATCAATCACGAAATGTACACCTGCAGTCTAGTTTACACGTGAAACCACATTTGATCATCAGGTTGTCTCACTTCAGTATCCCATCAAACGTCTTGTATTTACTGTGCAGAAAGCCACCATGAAACAAACGGGTGCTGCTGGTGTTGTTTCGTACGGATCAGAAAACAATGACAGGCCAATCAGAACGCTGTGCGGCTGATCCCGCCCCCCTGCTGTGATCACATTAAGCCACATCATCCTGTCAAATGATTTAATTCAACTTTAGTCTCAAGTGGCAGAAGAAGAAGAAGATGATCCTATTTTATTTACTCCTGGTTCTCCGAGCGGGGCGTAAGTACACGTTGAACTGACTCAGTTACTTCAGATAAACGTTGGTACCTCACATTCCTGATTCTTTCTGTCATCAATCACTGAACCGAGTTCTCTGATTTCAGGATGCACAGACGATCTGATCTTTGAGACAAAGCCTGTTGGACAAAGTGTGTCTCTGACTTGTCCTCGTAACGTCTCTCTGACCGGTGGAACCTTGTTCTGGATGAGGCTGGTTTCTGGAAACGTACCTGAGTTCTTT